TTCTTTCCTCTGCTTCCGAAATAGGTACATTAGGAAAAGCTGACGAAGGTACTGTAGGCTTTTGTGGGGCTGCAAGCATTTGGCTCAAAGGCTGAGCTGTGGTAAGCGGCACATTGAAATAGTGACGTGTTGGTGACACTGTTACCTTATGAAGCAAAGGAGGAGGCTGAGTTGGGTACTGAACTTCACTTGAAACGGTCACCCCAGTGTCTCCTGGAAGCTGGTTTACAACATGTTGAGGTGACTCTAAAGCCTCACCTGGGTTGTTCTGAATAATTGAAAGTGGTTCATTCTCCTCAGGTAGCTCTGGACGCTGAGTTGAGGCTTCTTGGTTGTATGAAGGGATTGGGAGTGATTCAGTGTAATCTGCTGGTTCCATTGAATATGCATGTTGGGCTGCAGATGTTCCAATCTCATTAAGAAATGCTTCAGGGTGAACTGAGGCCTCCTGCAAAGCTACAGGTACTTCAACCTCCTCAGTGGATGCTGGAGGTGGCAATGCATTCTCCAACTGGGGTAGAGAATGTTCGCCCTTGGTAGGCCACTCTGATGACTGAGCCAGGGCCTCCTGCCAGGCAGCAGTTACTTTAACCTCCTCAAAGGATGCTGGAGGTTGTAATGTTTTCTCCAGCTGAAAGAGAGACTGTATAACCACTGCGAGCCGCTCTGAAGACGGAACCTGAGTGCCTTGCATGACTGTAAATGGCTCCCCTTCCTCCATGAACTCTGGAGGCTCTGTGGAGTATTCTTGTTGGCTTAGAAAAGGTTCAACTTCATCAAGAGGTTCTTGAAGCTGAGTAGGGTTCTGTTGGTTTGGGGGAAATAGGACCTCTTGCTCAGTTAAAAAAGGATTAACCTCTTTGTGAGGTTTAGGAGGCAGTTCTTTGGTTTCTTGTGGCATTGATCCCTTAGGAAACTCCAGGGGGGAACCTGAAACCTCCTGCTGGGTGTGAGAATATGGGAGGATTTCAGGGGGCTTTAAAGATTCCTCCAGACCTGAAACAGGTTCAATCTCTTCAGAGGGAATTGGGAATTGTGGTGGAGCCTCTTGATGAATCACAAAAGGTTCAACTTCCTGCTCTGGAAGGGGAGCAAGGACCTCCTGCTCTATTGCAGGTTTAACCTTCTGGGGAGACTTTGATGGCTGTACTGGGGCTTCCTGCAGAGTTTGACCTGACCGAACCTCCTGAACTGGCTCCCGAGTTAAGGCAAACTCCCCAGATGCTTCATTTGGATTCTCCTGTGGAGTTTCCATTGTAGATGCCCTTAGTGGATGGAGACTTTGCATCTGATTTGCACGAAGTTCACTCTCCTGAGATGCCTCTGGAGGGGGAGACAGGGCCTCTTTTTGGGGTGCAAATAGGTCCATCTGTTCACTCTGAGGGCTTACTGGAGGCAAACCTGAGGGCTCCAGATCGATGGGATACAGACTGGTAGGCAGAGCTTGCTCCTCCTCCCCTGGGGGTTCTGTGTTTTCCTCCAGAGGCTCTGGAGGCTTGTGTGTGCCCTGTAGCAGGTATGAGGGAACCTGCACCTGTGGATCATAATTCTTTGGTGGTCTTCCAGGTCTCCTTGGAGGTTGCCCCTGAGGTAGAACCTTGTTCCACTTCGGTCGTGGGAAAATAAAGTCAGCTGTTGTGAAACTCTGACTAGCGAGAGGTGGGAACGGGATTCTCAGTGACTGATGGGCCTGAGCCCGACTCACGTCAGGAATTCCCACTTCATTTTTCAGTGGAACTTTCAGTTCCTGATGAGGCCTCAGCAGCGACGCTGACACCAAATGTGTTCCAGGAATTTCAGGGACTCCCTGAGTCCTGGGTAACTTCCGGAGTCCTGTCCGGAACTCCCTGTTTTCAAAGGCCCCTGGCTTGGGCAGCGGCATCTGCCTTGAAGGCGAATGATCAGTGGCCGGACGCTGTAGAGGGATATGAGGTTGATGAAGGTCAGGAGAGTGGACTAGGTCAGCGGGTTGATCAGGGGAATCAGGGGCACCAGGGTCATCAAGGTCATCGGGGTCATCACGGCCATCGGAGTCATCGGGGTCATCGGAGTCATCAAGGTCAGTAGGGTGAGAAGTTAGGGGTGCGTCCAGGTCCAGGGCATCCGGGGTCTTGAGGTCCAGGTTCAGCGGTGCTGCGGGGAGGAGAAGCTGCGGGGTGAGGAGAAGGAGGGCACAAAGGTACAGCAGGGACATGGTAAGGAAGGCTGAAAGTAAAGGTGCCAATGGCGAAGGACGAACAGGCTGTGGCGAAGGTTCGGCGGAAGGGAATGAGGTGTGAGGGCAGCCGCGTGAGGTCTGGGTGCGCACTTCGGCAGCGAGGGCCCCGCGCGCTGCGCCCCCCTTTTATGCAGCAGGTCGCCTTTGTGAGTCAGTAACTTTATGTCGCTCTGAGTGTGACTTTCCGGGAGGGCGGCGGGCTGGTTTTGGTCTGCTCCTGACTCACCAGGATGAACGTGACAGGGTGTCCATTCCCCTGCGAAGGGTCAGGACGTCACGCCCCCGCTCCACCCCACCTTCAGGAGCCCTCCCCTCCCCCAGCCCTAAGAGCTTCGCCCGCTGGCAGCACAGGCAGGACCGCTGGGCCCTTTCTGGAAACCCGAAGCTTCCTCCTCCTAAATTCCCCTCGGCCATGCTCCTTCCAACAAAAGTAACTGAATCATAAGCGCTATTTAGCACTGTTGTTGTTGTTATGTGCTGTCGAGTCGCTTTGGACTCAGCGACCCTATTTACAACAGCCGTAAACCCGCTTTATCCTGTGCCAGTCACACTGCCTCGGACACACCCATCCCGATTACCCCAGTCACTGAATCAAACCACCTTGTCCCTCCTTACAACATGTCCAAAGTATGTTAGAAGAAGCCT